TGATCAGGATCCATGCTGTTCGCTATCAGTTTCTCTACATGTAATAGGGTTGGTAAACGAACAGCATGGATCCTGATCAGACTGCGCGGGTGCGCAGGCTGGTCTGGATCCATGCTGGTCGCAAACGCATTACGTTGGTTTTGTCGTGACACGGCTCACATGTATGGTAGCTTCTGTATTGTCACTTATGTAAATAACAGTTAAAATGAGGTTAAAGAAAGTAACTTAAACGCCCTTGTCGCTTGTTTCATTAAAAATATTTCGAATTATTCTATACCTAAGTACAATATTAGTATTTGGCATGGATTGTTGTTTCCATAGAGTACCTTTATTTTGTATTATGAGAAATTTCTAGAAAAAAATCAAGGATAGTACAAACATAAAAACCGTCGGAATTAATCGGTAGCACTTACTTATACCATTCCACGCTTTTTTTTCAATATCATGATCATTTTTAAGATGTTGAACAGTTAAGATGTTTTTATTCTGGCGGATTTTCGAAGTTTGTGAAGTTGGCAGCCAAGCAGTCTGGCAGCCTAAAGAAAACTGAAAATAGTACAAACATGAAAATCGTCGGAAATGCATTTGTGACACTTACTTAGACCTTTCTACGCTTTTTTTTCAATATCGTGATATAGTTTATGATGTTGAACTGTTTTGTTTTTTTTATTAATTTTTCAACCTGCATGATGCTTTGAAATTTGTGAATTTAACAGCCTAGCAGTCTAATGAAAACTAAGGATAGTACAAACATGAAAACCGTCGGAAATAAATCGGTAGCACTTACTTATACCATTCCAAGCTTTTTTTTTTTACATCATGGGCATTATTTTTACAGATGTTGAATATTCGTTTTTTTTTTTTTCTGACGGATCATCGAAATGTGTAGCCTAGCAGCCTGAAGAAAGCTAAGAATAATACAAACATGAAAACCGTCGGAAATGCATCTGCGACACTTGCGTAGACCATTAAATTGACTTAAAAGCGAATGACGCATGTACTAAATCATTGCTAAACGAATAAAATCCTATTTTAAATAGCAAATAATTTGTTCCGGAACACTTTATTCTGTTTACATACATTATTCATTTGTGTTAATTAACATTTTTTTCGAGAATCAACCATATAATAATGAAAGCAATATAATTTTACTATTGATAAATTTGATAAAAATGTTTCATACGATATAGATTTAAACATTACCCTTTAACCAACATTTAAACATTATAAAATTCATACTTACCCTTTTTAAAGAAGTAAATATTTACTTGCTTCTGCGGCATGATGTGCCTTAAATTCAAATACGCTTGCGATTTGTAAATATTAAAACAAGGACAGAACATTTGCACGAGTAATCCAAACTATATTCTTCATGGAACTATATATTTCTTGAAGAGGTAAATTTACAATACCTTAGAGAAATGTTAATCATATCCATATATATGTAAATTGGACGCATGTTGATCATGAATACTTAAAATATTAGTCTTATAGTCAATTAATGAGCATCGTCTCAAGGTGCTTGTTTTCTGCTCATTATTGTATAGATTATATGACAATATAATATTGACTTTATGGGAATTTCATGACTTATATATTGATATATTCTTGAGAAAAATCTGTGTCTAACTGAATAGAAAAAAGATTGAAATCCAACCAGTATATAAATGGTATTTTTTGAAATTATGGTATTGTGGACGCGCAAAAGTGACCTCAGAAAAAAAGCGTGCTTATTTGGTGTTTAAACATACAAATAGATGTCTGAGTACCGCTTCCATTTTCCTTCCATTGAAAACTCATTTGGTAGGTATTATCATATTAAGATAGTCCAAGTTTCACAAACTATTTTGTTTTATTACTGCAGTATTTTATTGTTTGTACAGAAGTCGATTATGAGTTCGTTCACCATCCGAGTAAGGTAAGAACGTATATAATGCCCTTTATCATTATATTTATACATTTATTTCCTTCAGGGGTCATGCATTTGACAACCCAGACCGAAGAAGAACTGAGGTCGATTTCTGGGAGAAGTTATTGTAAAAAAACGTCGATAATATATGGCTTAATGATACCTAAAGCTCGTCATCAAATGCAAAATGATTATTAATAGTGAGATTTTATCACGTAAATAAATATGTATACGTTACTTTGAAAAATGACTTCTCCAAGTATCCCCACACCCCCAACCATCCACCCACCCCCTAAAATTAATAAATAAAGAAAGAAATATCAAGACTTATCATCATTGTCAGGAATCTACGCGATTATAATAGCCGCGTCACGACAAAACCAACATAATGTTGCGACCAGCATAGATCCAGACCAGCCTGCGCATCCGCGCAGTCTGATCAGGATCCATGCTGTTCGCTATCAGTTTCTCTACATGTAATAGAGTTGGTAAGCGAACAGCATGGGTCCTGATCAATCTGCGCGGATGCGCAGGCTGGTCTGGATCCATGCTGGTCGCAAACGCATTACGTTGGTTTTGTCGTGACGCGGCTCATATTTAGTTCAGCAAAAAGGGTTCACATCACAATGGATTATTCACAAATTTTTATCCCATCATTTCATTATCTTAAGATTGCTTAGAATATGTATATTTTATTAAGTTGAATTTAGTAACGTTATTCAGTTTTTGCTGTTATTTTTTCGGGGGAAAAAAACAACTACTAAATATCCATATTTCGTAAAAATAAAGTTGGCTCTATGACATTATTTAGTTTTGATCTAAATCCAAATAAGATATTTATCATAAATATGGTTATAAATGATTTGGGTAGAAATATAATTTGTTTTCTATTAAAAGTTAAAAAAGAATACTTAAATGTATTTTCCTATACAAGTCTATGTAAACAAGATATGTTTTTAAAACATGTATGCCCCCTATCGGCAGCCAATTAGTCATGTGATCAGGTTATTATGCATGACTTCTGACCCAGTGAATAAACAATTAATAAGGGTTATCTAGTATCTACTGGTCATGACTAGTCACAAGGTAATAATTATTGTGACCCCATAGGTTGTAGTTATTACAAATCTTACCAAATAATATATGCATAAATTTTATGAATCATGTAGGCCTCATTAATGACAGCCAAGTTGTTATATTACATAAGACCTTCAAATGTGTATACCAAAAGCATTTTTAGTTTAATATAAAAATATCAACCAAGGCAACTTGAGTTGTTGAGTTATTGGTCAGAAGCCGTCATTAAGTACAAGGTCAATATGACATTGACCCCTTGACCCCAAAATTAATAGGGGTCATCTACTGGTCATGACCAATCACCATATCAAAGTTTGAAGTTCCTAGGCCTAAGCGTTCTTTAGTTATTGATCGGAAACCGTTTTTACCTACAAGGTCAATGTGACCTTGACCTTAAACCCCTTGACTCCAACATCAATAGGGGTCATCTGCTGGCAATGACCAATCACCATACCAAGTTTGAAGTTCCTAGGCCTAAGCGTTCTTTAGTTATTGATCAGAAACCGTTTTTACTTACAAGGTCAATGTGACCTTGACCTTTGGCATCTTGACCCAAAACTCAATAGGGGTCATCTGCTGGTCACGACCAATCATCATACAAAGTTTGAAGTTCCTAGGCCTAAGAGTTTTTAGTTAATTGATCGGAAACCGTATTTACCTACAAGGTCAATGTGACCTTCACCTTTGACCCCTTGATCCCAAAATCAATAGGGGTCATCTGCTGGTCATGACCAATCACCATACCAAGTTTGAAGTTCCTAGGCCTAAGGGTTCTTTAGTTATTGATCGGAAACCGTTTTTACCTACAAGGTCAATGTGACCTTGACCTTTGACCCTTAACCCCAAACTCAATAGGGGTCATCTGCTGGTCATGACCAATCACCATACCAAGTTTGAAGTTCCTAGGCCTAAGGGTTCTTTAGTTATTGATCGGAAACCGTTTTACCTACAAGGTCAATGTGACCTTGACCTTTGACCCCTTGACCCCAAAATCAATAAGAGTCATCTACTGATCATGACCAATCACCATATCAAGTTTGAAGTCCCTAGGCCTAAGCGTTCTTTAGTTATTGATCGGAAACCGTTTTTACCTACAAGGTCAATGTGACCTTGACCTTTGACCCCTTAACCCCAGAATCAATAGGGGTCATCTGCTGGTCATAACCAATCACCGTACCAAGTTTGAAGTTCGTAGGCCTAAGGGTTCTTTAGTTATTGATCGGAAACCGTTTTTATTCAAGAGGTCAATTTGACCTTGACCTTTGACCCATTGACCCCAAAATCAATAGGGGTCATCTACTGATCATGATCAATCACCATACCAAGTTTAAAGTTCCTAGGCCTTAAGGTTCTTTAGTTATTGATCGGAAACCGTTTTTGCTTACAAGGTCAATGTGACCTTGACCTTTGATCCCTTGACCCCAAAATCAATAAGGGTCATCTACTGGTCATGACCAATCACCATACTAAGTTTGAAGTACCTAGGCCTAAGGGTTCTTTAGTTATCACTCGGAAACCATTTGGTCTACGGACCAACGGACCGACGGACCGACAAGTGCAAAGCAATATACCCCCTCTTCTCCGAAGTGGGGGCATAACTAAGTGACCCCAGAGACGGGACCAATTTTGAAAACAGTAATTTTCTATGCATAATATTTTATTTAACTATATTTTGTGAAACACTCTCGCTAAATTTTGAAATACAGTTCAAAAGACGACAAATTTAGTTGCATTAGTATAGATCACCTGCGAGTGTTGCTGTTGTTTTTAAAGACGTCACGATGTAGGCTTAAAGACGACTACATGCGCATACCTCCAGATATTATCGGTACAATGTATAAATAAATGCCTGTTGGACCGATTAATAAAAATAAAATTGGGTCGGTATAAAATGAAACTGTTAACAAATTCAACATATTCTATCAGTTCATTTGTTTCATTAATTCAAGCATTATTGCATAAATTTTATGATCAAAATGCAATATAAAGACCATTAACAATCAAACATATATCTTAATACATGTAAGGGATTTTGACAGAAGCACTAGATGCTTATTAAAGTTAATCTCGATAACTGATTACAACAATTAGTAATACATGGCGTGAAGATGGACATACTACATTAAGTGTATTATTAAGATTGGTCAAATGGAATTACTTGGGTACTATTTATTTTATGCTTAGTATCATTACTTTCTTTTTCTCGTCCCCATAACTTCGAATATGCATAAAAGAGCATGAAGTTGTTAACAAATATAGGTATGATTACAGCAATCACGCAAACACCAGTTATTGCACAAAGTACCCCGACCAACCTTGACAACGGTTGCTTAGGAACCATATCTCCATACCCTACCGTAGTCATGGTGATCAAAGACCACCAAAATGCATCAGGAATGTTTGGAAAATTTGGGTCTCCGGAAAAATATATGAAAGTCGAAAATAAGAGCATAGCAACAAACAGAAAAAGCGACATGTGCATAAGCTCCACACCGCTTGCCTTGAAAGCGTAAAGTAATACACGAAACCCAACTGGACTTTCCACGAGACGGAACATTTGTAAAATTCTAACTACTTGTAAACAATGTAAGATGTCAAGAACGGATGCCTCATATTTTTCTCTGGGAGAAATTGCCTCTACTATATACTTAGCATACATTACAGCAAGTGCAAACACGTCAACCCAGTGTAGAAATGAGTACAAAAGTTTACACCTAAAGGGACATACAACTATTCTTACAATCAAATCTATTGTGAAAAAAGCAATGCTGAAAAATTCAATAACATCTAAGAAAACAAATCGTGCGCGTGTGTTTTCTGGTAACGGTACTGTATTCAAGCTGTCTTCTGCTTCAGCTTCATTATTGACTGGTTCCGAATCTGTTGGTTCTTCTGGTGTAGGCTCTGGAGTTGTTTGAACGCCTGTTGTTGTGGCATTAATCCACTCTGTTTCTGCTTCCGGTTCAGCTTCTGATTCCACTTCCGGTTCTGCTTCTGATTCTACTTCCGGTTCAGCTTCTGATTCCACTTCCGGTTCAGCTTCTGATTCCACTTCCGGTTCTGTTTCTGATTCAACTTCCGGTTCTGGTAATGATTCAACTTCTGCATCAGACCTTGATTCTTCCTCTGCTTCTGCATCTATATTGCTTGTGTCATAAAAATGGTGACTATATATGTCCCATTCCTCGCCGAAATAAACTTTCCATTCATGAATATTAAGCGGTCGCTGGAATGTATGGTGTGTTCCGGCTACCAGCGCAAATAGGGAAACTGTGATGATAATCATATGTAGAATGAAATAAATCTGAAAATTGGAGAAAGGAAAACACAAATAAATGAGTGAATGATTAAAATTATTAACACATACGTTTACTAGTCTACTGTCTTGTATAATATTATTTGCCTTTTTACAAATCAGTATATTTATTTATTATGTCAGCTATACATGCGCATTTACATCTAAATCCAGTAAGTTTTATTTTAATTGATTTGTTCATCTTTTTCTTCTTCAAAAAAATAGGAATAATTCTAAGTAATAATGTCTCATCAATATGAAAGTAAAAAAAGAACAATAGAACTTATAAAACTTACTTTTGAGTAATATGAGTGATAAGGTTCGTTTAGAATCAACCATATCTTTGCCTGAATGCCCTGCCAGCCGGCGTGATAACTCAAGTCATCCAGAATACGTTTTTCTTCAGTCTTCCTCCTTTCATCTCTCTCAAGTATCTATTGTTGAAAAACAGCGACTCTAACATGGATGTATTAAAGCTAAATTCTTACATTTAAAGTGAATCGGTCTATTATTAAAGGTCTACAATACTAAATAATTACGTTGATAGTATAAAGTGTTAGACATAACAACAAATCACGTAAGAATTATACATGGAAGTTGTTGGCAAGTGTGAGATACATGATCCGACATTACATATACATATATCTATATAGCAGATAACAAAGTGTTTTAGAACAATATAAAATTATTTACCACATACATCGGCTATTCCAAATCACACAGAACTTTGTCAACATTTTCTAATTAACATTTCAAACATCATTTAATAAGAATATCCAAATGATACATTTCTATTGTTTTATCAATATTTGATTATTAATGGAAATGTGCCCATTGTAGAAAAATCCACTTTAAAATAAAAGAAAGTGGAATTGATCAATCCTGCTATAAAGCTAAATGTGACAGAAAGAAAATACATTTGTATAGGAAATCATGTTGATTTAAACAAGTTTGTTTCAGCTCTATTGCGAAACAAGTTCTTGCAACTTATATTAATCACTTTCGAGTCCGCTTCCTAGAACCAACCAGCACTGATGTCATATGAAGAAAATTGGCAGTGACCCGATTAGGGCTCGAACCCATAATCCCTGGGTTGAGAGGCAGACAATTTAACCACTAGGCCACCGATGCACTTAAATGTAAATTATGTTTAAAACTGGTATCAGAATTCAAATCACTTAATCACTTAAAATGCTAATTTATGGGTACCTTCAGTGCATTTTGGTCATCAAAATATGTCATATACTTAACGAAGCAACACTTTGCTAAATCTGTTTCCTCAATTCCCCAGAAGTTTAGCTCTTTACGAAAAATTGATGGACACATATCACTCGGAATATGTAGCTCTCCTCCTAAGTGCTCGTAAAATATTGCTTGAAATACACGAGAATCTCGTGCAACAAACACTTCCCCTTCCAATGCATGCAAATTATTTCTAAATTTAAGCGGCACTTTATTTCTTATGTTTAACCATACTGTGTTAAATACTTTAAATTTAGTTCCACTGATATTGACAACTTGAAATACAACTTCAGTAGGTTCCCCGTGATTTGCCGGATTTTCCATGTTATAACGCATCTTAAAGTGGCGCAAAGTTACAAAAATATTAACGTATAGACTTCAGTAAGGGAGTTATATACTGTTGAACAGCCAGTAACCTATCCAATTAGGTTTTATTTATAATAGTAACCGAATGCCATAGACGCGTGTATTTCTGCTAATGATTCAACACAATTATATAGAAATATTTATTGTATATTACATCGTTAGTTCATTATTCCTGTATAATTTGTAACGAATAGCAGTTTTCCCTACTGTTATCTTTACATAAATATACATGAATAATACAAAGACATTATATTATTCATGGCAATACATACTCTAATTTAGTGCGAATTACCTTCACGTAATTATAGGGTCAAATATCCTCAGGGTTATGATAAAAACATTCTAGAAAGATGTTTCAGTACAAGTTTACTTGATAAAGAACTTATTTATTGACCAACATGTAAAAATTGAGTCATCTAGTGATATAATAAATATGCCTACCCGATCTGGAACTAGACGTACATGACCACACCGTATTACTGGTTCCAGTATTGACAGATTGCTGCATTGACGACAGATGTCCACAATTTACTGATTTATGAATTTGACTGATATATTGATATGTCAAAAATTGCTGTAAATTTACTGTCCATTGACTAGAAATACTGTTGTGTAATTTTGACTCATTTCTCGGGTAAAAAATAGCTCGAGCGGGTTAAAAGTGACATACCTTCTCGTAAAAAATGATTTTTCAATTTTTGTTAAATCTTCCTCTCCATATTTTTTTTGTTGCTTTAATATATGTATCTCAAATTTTACAAACAATAAATTGTTTATACTGAAAATCTACAAAATTAAAATATTCGTAGTGGCATCTGCCATAATAAATAGAGATATTTTTCTGCGTACACTTGTGTGTTTGCTTTATTTCATTTTTTGCTTGGAATTATTCATAAAATGGTAGGCCTATTTAATCATTCTCTTAAAAAGAATATTGTTTTATGTTCGACCTTCTCCGGTCATCAACGGTCACCAGTTTCCAAAGACCTTCTTCTATATTTATCGATTATTGTCAACTATATTCCTGATACAAACGTTTATTTATTGAAAATAGTTAAATGAAATATCTTTATATCATTTAAAATGTTCCCCGCAGGTAACCATTTTACTTGTCATATTTTGGTAATGTTATGGTAAGACAGTATGGAACACGCTGCTTTTTTTAATGATACGGAACACACCGTTTTGTTTGTTGTTGTATTTTTTTACTCTGTTCCAATTTGTTATGTTCTCGTATTCGAATATGTAATATTTCTCTTTAAAATGTGTTTTTTTTTTTTCAAAGCAACACAAAAGGCCATCCATTAGTCCGATATATTGGTATATTATCATCATCTAAACTTAAATATATTTAACTTTGATTAAGTATTTCATTTTGAATTTTATGCATAAAAACTTCATAACAGTAGTTGTCTGTTGACAAATGCATTCACCAGCACATCACTTTCAAAATCTGAATGATTATGAACATTTTAACAATGAAGTATAGTACATTTTCAACGTGTATGACTTTGACACTTCAACGTTGATAAAACTGCAACGTTGCATAACAATTTTTAAATCCAAATATACATCTGGATGGAATTGAAATCTGACATGTATCAGTAACTCGATACAGTCATATCTTAGGTACACATGTTAGCATAACTAAGTTGATTCCTTATCATAATACCCTAGACCATGTTGACCTAGCGTCAGTTTTTTTTTCGATTTTTAGAAGTAATATTTTTTTGTGATTATTTAAGGTCGTTAACGTCAAACCAATTGCCTTTCACCGATGTAGTTCGAGCAAGTGTCATGTAAGAAATGCTATCCAGCTAGCTTACGCAACGTCGATTGTTCTACTAAGTGGCCCGTTTGTACCTGGAAAAAAACGCAGAAAGGGGCACCTGAGGACTTCTTCCATTCCACCCGTAAAGCTGGAAAGTCGCCATACGACCTGTAAGCCTACTGACTGTATTGATACGATCAAAACAAAATAAGTAAATTTTTAGTAGCAAAAACCAGACATGAACACTTATAAAACAATTTCAAAATGATTATGTAAATTGTAAAGATTGTGTAAAACTATTTGGGGTAGATATAGACTTTTTACTTAACTTTGATTAAACAGGTCACCAGAATGTGTAAAATAACTGAAAATAAATTACATATGCTTTTAAAAATTAGAAATTCTTTTAATTCCTTATTTATAAATCTTTATTAGGTCCAGTTTTAACTCATGTCCGTTAGTCTGGCATTTTTTGCTTTAAAACAAACACAGGAAAGCTTGAAAACTTCAGCATAGATCGAGCTCTAAGAATAGTTTTTCAATGATTTTAGCTCTACATATTACGCACTATGAAAACAGGTAAATATGCCTACACTACATTTATCAAGAATCAAAACTATAACCAAAAAGTGTTTAAATGCATTTACGTAAAATTACCTCGATCCATACATAAATGATTTAGTTCAATTCAAAAATTCAAATTTCTCTTTTAGGTATCAAACGTACAGTGTAGATATATACTAAGAATAAAAAAGTAACATATGGAAAGACTTCGTGTAGGTTTGAGGGCGCACAGATATGGAAGAGTCGCCCTAATGGCATCCGCAAGGTTGAACATTATCCTTGCTGTCCAAGTTCGTTTGTTAATTTAATTAAAATTTCTGTTTCTTCCGTTCATAAGAATATGCATGCAATTTCATTTTATTTAACTTTGTTATGTTATACTTTATGTGCTTTAAATAACATTTGTTCGTGCATTTTTGTTTTGTTTTATGCGCTACTTAAATAAAGTGAATTAAAATATTTTAGTAAATCTTTAATGATGCATAGATTTTAACCTACTAATTTATTTTGACTTTTGCTACATGTAATATACTATAATATAATTAAATTGTCAGCTCATTTATGCTATAGTGTTTTAATACATTTGAGCTGTTAGTCCTTTACAATATGTACTGTACATGTCACTATATTTTATTTTAAATTGTCATCTTATTGTATTAAATATTCTTTTAAAAATCTTACTACTTTTTTCAAACCTAACTTAATTGCACTAAGTTAAATTTATTTTACTTTCTCAGACTTGTTACAAGTTAGTTATATTGTTCACGTCTCTGTTAAAATAATGTCAGTATATAACTTATTAGCTAATGTTTTGAAAATCTTGTAATTTGTAACCGACTTAGGATATCTTGTATCTTTAGTATCACACATCCTATATCAAGATTTAGTGTACTGATACCTTAAATGTAACACGGGCATGCGTATAAATTACTTCCGTAAATTTATTTACTTCCGGGAAAGTTAGGAAAGTAAAATTTAACATTTCATGTTTTATTTGCATATTATTAGGTAAACTGCATACACTGAATGAAACATAAACGAAACAGATAAAGAACTTAATGGTATTTAAATGATTTCATCATTTTTATTGCTAAAACTCCTGATTTATTTTAATAAGTCGCTTAGTCAGTGTTAGTCAACATGTCAATTGATGTTAAATCTACTTTTTTGTTAGTCAGTATAATATGTGAAGTTTGTTCATTCATAAACGGATTTTGCAATGAACCAGTAAAGTGTGTATATAACTGCTATCCAACTGTCCCCTCCCCATCCCATTGTTCAGTGGAGATTAATGGTTTGTTTATTTGAGCCAAATATATAAAATTTGATTTACAAACTACAGAATCGAGACAGTTCATCCCACTGACATTTCACCCCTAGCTTTTTGCAGACACTCAATTTGATTGAGACACTTCACACCCCTCTCCCATTTTTATTTTGTGTTTTGCAGAATTTCAGAAATGGTGATAAAAAACTTGAAATGTAATCAATTAATCAGGGCTCACACTGGCTCAAATAAAATAATAGCCAATAATTTTAACTTAAAAAAATAATAGCCAAAAGTTCAGCGGACTATTCACGAATTAGCGATTAACAAGTTGACATAAGCAGTTGATTAAATAAACATTACATTTATATCTTTCAGTTTTATAAGGATTCTCAAATAAACTGATACATTTGTGTATATTGATAACTACCTTTTTTTAAATAGAACCACAACTTTAATTGTTATTATAGAACAGAATAAAAACGTTATAATTAGTATAATTACTGTATAACAATAATATTAAAGATTCATTATAACTTTACATAATGCTCTTATCAGACAACTTTTTTTGTTTGTTCTAATCAAATTTTGTCAGCTATAACCACTGTCAATTTCACACAGAACTGGAGTAGATCTAGGTCATATATATATTAGCCTATAGAAATAACACAAGTTTGCAAACTCATTCACAGAATGCAGCCTTTTTTCTGAATAATTTACTGAAAAATATCATCATCACCAATGTAATACAAATTTTCTGCCATAGTAGTAAAGATTTTTAAACAAAACATAGCTTAATTCACCTTTAAATAAATATCAAAATTATCGGTGTCGCGAAAATATGTGACAATCGGATTTTTCCTGTTTTCTTGAGAAATATTCACAATTTTGGTTGTTGTGCAAATAGTTGTTTGGAATTTAATACTTTTTAAATATTTTACCATTGTTTTCCACTGGCGATTTAGTCAAGTAGCTTAAAAAAAATCAAAATTTGCAATTACTGGAATTCACGGTAAATTTTGGGTAAGTCAATATCCAGTTTATCAATTTTAAAACGATTTTTGTGGCTAATTGACGGATATTTGATGGCTATTATAAATGCTGGACAATATCTTTAAAGTACTTATACAATTATACATCTTGCATGTATTTTATCACCTCGGGCAATATAGTTAGCAGCACGTGACCGGTAAAAAGTTGACACTCGATTAAATGCACCCTGCTGGTGTTAATTGGGACTACTGCATTCATTATCGATTTTTACACCTTATATAAACACTGTTGGAAGTAAAAAATAATCGCCAGATTTTGTAGCCAAAATGCAAAAATAATCGCAAATGGCGACTATGGCGACCG